GTATAAATAAATACTGTTTGCATTAGAATGTTAACGTAATATTGTGTGGCATAAAATAAATATAGTTTTACACAAATACTAGTAATCCGAGTTTAGTTTTAACAGTAAACGACACTTTTAAATAACCTATGCTTTTTACTGGTTACATTTTGTAGTGGTCAATTATGATGTATGAATTTTTGTACGAACATAATTTCTTATGCAATTATTTGTAAAATATACACACATTTTAGGTTGAAACTCGAGAAAGTGAGCTTATAAAGCTGCCAAAAGATTTTAAGACAATTGTTTAGTTAAAAAATAAACATACACATAACTGTGAACAGACACTTGTGCAAATGTTTATGATTAAACTCTAATATTTACTTTCCAACAGAGACCCGGGTATGTCAACCTTACATCTGTCAAATTTTTCTAAATAACAATACACCAGTAACTACTGGATCAATTCTTTCAACATTTTTCTGCGTGTGGGAACCTAACGGCAGCCATTTTAATAAAACCACAGGAAAACTTGTAGCACCAGATGATGGTTTCTATCTTGTGATTGTAACGCTGCAGGAAAGTGAGGATAAACTGATTAGAATTGATTTGTACAGGGATGATACATTTTTTAAATACTTTCTGGTTAAATCAGCCAACACATCTGCCGCTGGATCAACTGTTGTTAAAATGAAGAAAGGCCATGAACTTTACTTTAAAGTGTTCCAAGCTGATGTTGGAGCCAAGCTACAAGTACCAACTGGCTTCACTATTATTAGATTGTAAATTAAATCATGTTCATAAAATTGCTAGTGTATTATCTATTTTACACAACATCGTATTCGAATGTTCGGGTAATTTAATGTGTCTTTTCTGTGTTTTGTGTAGTTATACCAGTACAGTCATGATGTAGAATAGTTAGACAAATTGTTGTGAGTACTAAAAATTACTTCTACTAATACATACCCACACATTTCAGCTGCATTTAAAAAAAAAAAAAAATTGAAAAAAAATCCTAAAACGAGGCTCATGCAACGCCAACATTTTAAAGAATTATTAAAAAAAAAATTTAATACCGCTCTTTAATTTCTTAATTTTTACTTCTGTGACAGAAGTAAAAAAAAAACATCGAGTCTTTAAAATGCGTGTTGTCAGTTGGAATTGTTAATTTTTGCATTATCATACATAGCACAATCATCGATAATTATCACAATCACCGATCATTAGAAGAATCACCGATAATTAGCACAATCGTCGAAAATTTAAACACATTAAACACAACTTAAAATATGGTTAATAATTGGATTATATGTAATCAGTATTTAAGGATCAATTAACTTACCTTAGGATATCTTAAAGCCTGTGAAAAAATAATGTTAAAAAGAGTAGTTAGTACCTTTATTACTAATCTTTTGTTATACAAATGATAGGCCTACATGACATACCAGTTTAATATTTTTAGATATGTTTAAACTACAAACAACTATTGCTTACATTTTTCATAATTCCAATAACAGGTTCCATAACTCGTATCTGTTCTTCCAAATATATCATGTGTTCGGTTACATGTTCGACCTCAATTCTAGATGACATCTTGTAAATATAGAACTCACTTTTTAATCTTTCTCTTAATTCTAGATGACATCTTGTAAATATAGAACCAACTTTTTAATCTTTCTCTCAATTCTAGATGACATCTGTAAATATATAACTCACTTTTTATTCTTTCCCTTAATTCTAGATGACATCTTGTAAATATAGAACTCACTTTTTAATCTTTCCATCAATTCTAGATAACATCTTGTAAATATAGAACTCACTTTTTAATCTTTCTCTTCTCTTGGGTGCTAAGTACACTGTCTAGATTGGATACATTTATTTGTTACAGAAGCCTCAAAATAATGGTCATCATATTGCATAGACATAACTGAACAGATAAGTGGAACACAAACGTCTATTACTAAATTTTTCGTACTTGTCCTGTAGTTTTCATTTTACTTAAACTGCCATAGAGTTGAAGTAAAAGATTTAAATTAACACGTCCTGCTTATAGCTATGTTTAACATATCAGTTAATAAAACGTAATTAAACACAATAAGAGCTTTAGTACAAAATTATAGTCAAAGCACATAAAACTTTAGTGACCAACATTCTGACGTAAAGCATTGTTGTGAATTATTTCATATTTTACTTTGGTGTATAGGCCTACATATCTGGGTAAAATATATCTTTCAAACAGTTTATTAAAAATGTATCTTGATTGTTCTGGCAAATATGTGAAATGTAAAATCATAAAAGCGAGATTACCCTTTGTGCTGTTTTAGTTTCACCAGCAGTCCATAATTTGAAGCAACACATGAAGTCACTAAACTAAGTCAGCAACAAGCGGATATAACATGTTAAAATTGAAATAGAAAAAAAAAAAACTACTTACATTTCTTAAAGATAATTATTCGATTTATAAAAAATGTTTAACGTTTTTTAATAATATTAATTTTAAAATATATCACAAAAATAGTCAGTCGACTGGAGCCTACTGAGACTAGTTTCTTTACAAGACACACAAGTTAAAGATGACATATCGGAAATAAAACAATGGAGAGACCACTTAAATAGAGAACAAAGTATCATGACTTCAAACATTTAACATCTAAGTGGAGAACAAAAACAGAATTTTAAAAAACATCAGAAAACAATTAAGTGAACTAGATAACAAAGTAAAGGAACTGAATAAAGAAATTGAAAGTTTAAAAGCAAAAGAATCAAAGTCCAAAAATTCTCAGTGATAGCCGCCCGCTTAGCCAACCTTCCCAGAAAAACCGCCAAGTTTATATGGTCACCAGAATGCGAGGAAGCCTTTGTAAGGATTAAAACCATGTTAACTGGCTCCCCAGTCTTGGTAACCCCAGATTTTAACGTCAATTCCGAATAGCTGTGGACGCCAGCGATTCCGTTGTCGGAGCTGTCCTATCCCAGTTAGACGAAGAAGAAGTGGAGCATCCGATTTGTTATTTCTCGAAGAAATTTAATAAGCACCAAGCCAATTATTCAACGGTTGAAAAAGAATGTTTGGGCATAATCCTGGCGTTGCAGCAATGGGAATTTTATGTCAGTTGTTCGGCTCAACCCATCTTAGTGTTAACGGACCACAACCCATTGACATTCCTCAACAAGATGAGCAGAAAAAACCAGAGTTTACTCCGGTGGAGTTTATTTTTACAAGAATACCAATTGGACATTAAGCACATAAAGGGGCTACACCATGTCGTGGCTGATGCCTTGTTTCGTTGTTAAATGTTCTGATGAATTGTATTAAATATTTTGCTGTATATGTTAAGTAGTTGTGCAAGGTACACCTTAGAAATGCTGTCTTGTGGTTTGTTCTTGGTTAGACGAAGAGAAGCCAAAAAGGAAACGCAGGCTAAAAACAATACTTAAGAGTGTTGGATGGCCTACTATTCCAAAATTAGAATTATGTTCGAATTGAAGAGCCCAGTGCTAAAAGTACTTAAGTCACATTTTTGTGAAAATCAAACCAAGCATTGATCGTTATTCCTCTAGTTTAACTTTATCTTATAAACAAATAGTCATACTGAAGAATTTATTTAATTTTCTCTTCCAAACAAACAAATAATATAAAAACATAATGTTTCATAGTAAATTTTAATCTTTGAACTCATTTTTCTCAAAATGTTGTTTTTGTGACTTAAGTACTTTTAGCACTAAGGTCTTCAATTTGTATTATATGAATAGCTTCTAGCTTTCAGTTATCATCAATTAATAGATTTCTTCAACATAACTCATTTCATATAACCCCGAAAAGGGTAACTGCTGTAAAAACATTTCACCAAATGGAAAGAAGAAATATTTTTTTTTTTGGGGGGAGGTGCGATGTAGATGTTTATGTAAAGTGTGTGTGAGAGTGCCCCCCCCCCCCCCTTGCAATGGTGTGCAAGCGAAGAAAAGAAGTGTGTAAACGGTGTGTGTTGTAGAGCGTAGCAAGTGGGCAATGGTTTTCGTTTCGATGTTCAGTGTTCCCCTGTAGAAGTTGAAAATTATATTGGACTATTACAATTATTAGCTATGGAACTTGCTAATTTAGGGTAAAAAAATAATTTGAAAGAATAGGCATATATATATATATATATATATATATATATATATATATATATATATATATATATATATATATATATATATATAGGCCTATAATTCACGTGAAACGGGTACCGATGGCTAGTATATTATATACATATTATTATTATTATGTATGACCTGTTGTGTGTTAGGATAGGTTTTATTTGATAGATACACTGTTACTGAATTAAAAATCAATAGAGGTTGTTTTTTGTTTTTTTTTTTACATTTAATCACAATAGCAGTTAATTTCAGCATCTTTCAATATATTTAAAATTGCCTAACATGAATCAATATTTCTAACATACTAAACACATACTGAAGTTGTCAAGTGAACTTATCCAAACAATATCTTTAATATTGTTCATTTGGTTTGGTTTTATTTTTAAAACACAAAAATCGCACGAATTAAATGATGCTCATAAAGCTCAGAAAAGGAGGTATCATGTATGTTTCTGCCAGAGTTTTTTCTACAGAGGGGGGGGGGCGGGGGGGGGGAAATTGAAATTTTCGAGGGGGGGGGGCTGGACTACAATTTACGAGGGGTGGAAATTGGTAAAAGTATATATACTTTTTTTTCTTATTTTCTATATAAATCCCTTTTTGTTGGGGGGGGGGGGGGGGGGTGGGGATGTAGAATTTCCTCAGGGGGGTGGGGGGTGGGGGTGGGGGAAGAGATGCCTGAAAGAAACTCTGTTGTTGATAAAACTTAATTTTTTTTGGAATTGTGTAATGATAATTAAACAAATGACATTAAACCATTTGCGTTTGTGTAGACATGTAGTCAACACATATAATAAATTGTTAGCGTGTGTTTAACATGGTGGTTACATATTTTATTTTTTGAGAATTTACCATCAACCATGTTTTGTGTTGTACTTCTATAAACTAACGATAGTAAAACTACTAAAGTTGGATAACATTGCGCCTTGATCAGCGCAAGACACTTTTAGGTAAATTTCTTGACCTTTCTTCATGTCAACAACCACTGACCCAGCAGCGCTAGTGTTGGCACATTTCACATCTATAGTCGTACACATCACGTCTCCAGCCCACACACCAACTATAATCTGTTTATCTACCCATTCATGTAAAGTCACACAGACAAGATATAAACCGTCATGTGGTGATATAAATTTTCCTGTTGTTTGATCAAAATGTTGACCGTTATATTCACGTAGTTCAGTAAATCTTGAAATAATTGATCCAGTACTGACAGGTGTGGGATCATCAAACTCCACATGACAAGCATATCTGTTACATACACGTGACTCTGTTGATTGGAAAAACATATGTATGATGTACATGTTTAATTTCACGAATGCTATAACTACTTGATCAATAATATTTGTGAATTGTTGTATCATTAGTTTATGTTATTAACACTAACATAATCTCATTATATGTGTTTTGTATGCAGTTTAGAATGTAACTAAAATTGACAAACCAAAAAAAAAAACATTTTTTTTCAAAATATTAAGTTGTGTATAATAATCCATAAGGTTTAAATAATTTTGTCTAAGACCACAAATTGATACACTAGACCACTAGTTTAGTACCGCCCCTAAATTTTAGTGATGTTAGTTTATCGTGTCTTACGTATTGAAACTAGTAGGTGATGTAATACGTCACAAGAGGTGCAACAAATGTATTGCTTTATTTTATAATCGTGTCAGCGACAAATTCCAGAAAGATACTTGTCCGAATGCCGTTTGCCCAAAGGCCGATTTCCCGAATAGACACTTGCCCGAATGGAAATGTCCATTCGGTCACATATCGTGTTCCGGCAAGTGACGTTCGGGAAATCGTCCGGCTCCCTTTATAATCATACAGTCCGTACGTGTTTACATTACAGTTTAACTATATATGGTTTATCTATCCAAACCAAAATTACTGGAACTAAAGTTATTCTGTTGTACTTAGTAATCACCGATAACAAGATCTGCACCGTGTAACTTTTTTTATTATTCATCTCAATTTACAGTCAATTAATGCGATACTAAAATGTAAAAATGTTAAAATGTTTTCATGCTATTATTTTAGTTTAGGTTTAATCCCTGTCTCTTATAGGACTCCGTCTTAATCTTAAAAACATAAGTGACGATGAAGTTAGTTAAATTGAAACTGCAGCTCTGTAAATGTCTTACTGTACTGGGTAGACCGCTGTAGGTCGACTCCCGACATACCAGGTGGTGTAATGTATCAGGTGAGAAAACAAACATCTGCGGAAACCCACGAGTCTAGAGACTGGCACTATGGGTGAGTAAAATGTTCCATTCTTTAACACGTTATGGTCTGTCTGGCTAACGAACATCACGTTATGGTCTGTCTGTCTGGCTAACGAACATCACGTTATGGTCCGTCTGGCTAAAGAACATCACGTTATGGTCTGTCTAGCTAACGAACATCACGTTATGGTCTGTCTGGCTAACAAACATCACGTTATGGTCTGTCTGGCTAACGAACATCACGTTATGGTCCGTCTGGCTAACGAACATCACATTATGGTCTGTCTGGCTAACGAACATCACGTTATGGTCCGTCTGGCTAAAGAACATCACATTATGGTCTGTCTGGCTAACAATCATCACGTTAAGGTCTGTCTGGCTAACGAACAACACTTTATGGTCTGTCTGGCTAACGAACATCACGTTATGGTCTGTCTGGCTAACGAACATCACGTTATGGTCTGTCTGTCTGGCTAACGAACATCACGTTATGGTCCGTCTGGCTAAAGAACATCACGTTATGGTCTGTCTAGCTAACGAACATCACGTTATGGTCTGTCTGGCTAACAAACATCACGTTATGGTCTGTCTGGCTAACGAACATCACGTTATGGTCCGTCTGGCTAACGAACATCACATTATGGTCTGTCTGGCTAACGAACATCACGTTATGGTCCGTCTGGCTAAAGAACATCACATTATGGTCTGTCTGGCTAACAATCATCACGTTAAGGTCTGTCTGGCTAACGAACATCACGTTATGGTCTGTCTGGCTAACGAACATCACGTTATGGTCTGTCTGGCTAACGAACATCACGTTATGGTCTGTCTGGCTAACGAACATCACGTTATGGTTTGTCTGGCTAACGAACATCACGTTATGAACTGTCTGGCTAACGAACATCACGTTATGGTCTGTATGGCTAACGAACATCACGTTATGGTCTGTTTGGCTAACGAACATCACGTTATGGTCTGTCTGGCTAACGAACATCACGTTATGGACTGTCTGGCTAACGAACATCACGTTATGGTCTGTCTGGCTAACGAACATTACGTTATGGTCTGTTTGGCTAACGAACATCACGTTATGGTCCGTCTGGCTAAAGAACATCACGTTATGGTCTGTCTAGCTAACGAACATCACGTTATGGTCTGTCTGGCTAACAAACATCACGTTATGGTCTGTCTGGCTAACGAACATCACGTTATGGTCCGTCTGGCTAACGAACATCACATTATGGTCTGTCTGGCTAACGAACATCACGTTATGGTCCGTCTGGCTAAAGAACATCACATTATGGTCTGTCTGGCTAACAATCATCACGTTAAGGTCTGTCTGGCTAACGAACATCACGTTATGGTCTGTCTGGCTAACGAACATCACGTTATGGTCTGTCTGGCTAACGAACATCACGTTATGGTCTGTCTGGCTAACGAACATCACGTTATGGTTTGTCTGGCTAACGAACATCACGTTATGAACTGTCTGGCTAACGAACATCACGTTATGGTCTGTATGGCTAACGAACATCACGTTATGGTCTGTTTGGCTAACGAACATCACGTTATGGTCTGTCTGGCTAACGAACATCACGTTATGGACTGTCTGGCTAACGAACATCACGTTATGGTCTGTCTGGCTAACGAACATTACGTTATGGTCTGTTTGGCTAACGAACATCACGTTATGGTCTGTCTGGCTAACGAACATCACGTTATGGTCTGTCTGGTTAACGAACATCACGTTATGGACTGTCTGGCTAACGAACATCACGTTATGGTCTGGCTAACGAACATCACGTTATGGCCTGTCTTGCTTATGAACAATACGTTATGGTATGTCTGGCTAACGAACATCACGTTATGGTTTGTCTGGCTAACGAACATCACGTTATGGTCTGTCTGGCTAACGAACATCACATTACGGTTTGTCTGGCTAACGAACATCACGTTATGGTCTGTCTGGCTAACGAACATCACATTATGGTTTGTCTGGCTAACGAACATCACGTTATGAACTGTCTGGCCAACGAACATCACGTTATGGTCTGTCTGGCTAACCAACATCACGTTATGGTCTGTCTGGCTAACGAACATCACGTTATGGTCTGTCTGGCTAACGAACATCACGTTATGGTCTGTCTGGCTAACGAACATCACGTTATGGCTTGTCTTGCTACTGAACATCGCGTTATGGTCTGCGTGTCTAACGAACATCACTTTATGGTCTGTCTGGCTAACAATCATCACGTTAAGGTCTGTCTGGCTAACGAACATCACTTTATGGTCTGTCTGGCTAACGAACATCACGTTATGGTCTGTCTGGCTAACGAACATCACGTTATGGTCTGTCTGGCTAACGAACATCACGTTATGGTCTGTCTGGCTAACGAACATCACGTTATGGTTTGTCTGGCTAACGAACATCACGTTATGAACTGTCTGGCTAACGAACATCACGTTATGGTCTGTATGGCTAACGAACATCACGTTATGGTCTGTTTGGCTAACGAACATCACGTTATGGTCTGTCTGGCTAACGAACATCACGTTATGGACTGTCTGGCTAACGAACATCACGTTATGGTCTGTCTGGCTAACGAACATTACGTTATGGTCTGTTTGGCTAACGAACATCACGTTATGGTCTGTCTGGCTAACGAACATCACGTTATGGTCTGTCTGGTTAACGAACATCACGTTATGGTCTGTCTGGCTAACCAACATCACGTTATGGTCTGTCTGGCTAACGAACATCACGTTATGGTCTGTCTGGCTAACGAACATCACGTTATGGTCTGTCTGGCTAACGAACATCACGTTATGGCTTGTCTTGCTACTGAACATCGCGTTATGGTCTGCGTGTCTAACGAACATCACTTTATGGTTTGTCTGGCTAACGAACATCACGTTATGGTCTGTCTGGCTAACGAACATCACGTTATGGTTTGTCTGGCTAACGAACATCACGGTACGAACTGTCTGGCTAACGACAAGCAGGTTATGGTCTGTCTTGCTAACGAACATCACGTTATGGTCTGTCTGGCTAACGAACATCACATTATGGTCTGTCTGGCTAACAAAATCACGTTATGGTCTGGCTAACGAATATCACGTTACGGTCTGTCTGGCTAACGAAAATCACATTATGGTCTGGCTACCGAACATCACGTTATGGTCTGGCTAACGAACATCACGTTATGGTTTGTCTGGCTAACGAACATCACGTTATGGTCTGTCTGGCTAACGAACATCACGTTATGGTCTGTCTTGCTAACGAACATCACGTTATGGTCTGTCTGGCTAACGAACATCACGTTGTGGTCAGTCTGGCTAACGAACATCACGTTATGGTCTGGCTATCGAAAATCACGTTATGGTTTGTCTGGCTAACGAACGTCGCGTTATTGTCTTTCTGGCTAACGAACATCACGTTATCACGTTATGGTTTGTCTGGCTAACGAACATCACGTTATGGTCTGTCTGGCTAACGAACATCACGTTATGGTCTGTCTGGCTAACGAACATCACGTTATGGTCTGTCTGGCTAACGAACATCACGTTATGGTCTGTCTGGCTGTACGATTAGGTTTTTAAAATTATTTTTTTATCCAAACTTACCTATAATATTTAAATCTTTGGACAATTTTGAAATAGCACCTTCAATATTTTCCAGCTAAAAAAGTTTTTTATAAAACAAATGAAAAATTCCCGTAGTTACGTACAGCATACAAATGATGCACTGATTTTAATTTTTTATGACATATTGTAAAAATAGAACATTATTTAAAGCTTGTGTTATTTTTAAAATATATGTTATTAACTTGTCTATTTACATAGTGTTCATAATTAATGCATGATTTATCAACGTCGCAATTTATTTTTTTTTAAATTACTTCTTATATACCTTCGTTATTCTTTCTTCCCTTGTTTCCAAGTTTTTGTTAAAGATTTGAATCAGTTTGTCAATGGGCATCAATCTTTGTTGCAGGAGTTTGTACATTAGACTGTGCTAAAGAGCAGAAAATTTAATAAAAGCATTAACAATTTAATTATTTTTACTGCACATTATAACTAACAAAACATAAAATGTGTCTTAAAATAAGTAATACTTTTAAAGTATAACTTTTGATAAAGCTACTAAGTTGTGTTTTGATTTAACCAGGTTATAAAATGTGAAATAAGTTATCTGGCCAGTATGTGTAAAATTGTGTACACACATAATTAGCAATTTTACCTTTTCTAATTGAGTTGATGTGTTAAGCTGGATTTTATAACTTTCTTCTTGTAGGGTAGACATCTGATCTGAATGTCTTTTAATTTCTTGTGTTATAATATCAGATTTATCTGCGTGATCTTGCATATCTTTATTTATTTTGAGTAAGTTGTTTTCATATCCCTTTATATCTAGAGACAGTTTCTCTAGTGTTTTGTTTGACTTGGATTCTTTTTCTTTTAAACTTTCAATTTCTTTGTTCAGCTCCTTTACTTTGTTATCTTGTTCACTCATTTGTTTTCTGAGGTTTTTAAAATTCTGTTTTTGTTTTTTAGTCAGTTGTTCAATGTTTACCCCCATGTCACTCTGTTTTGTTACAAAGTTGTCTCTCCATTGTTTTATTTCTGATATGTCATCTGTAGACTTGTCTCTGACGTCTAGTAGAGAAGATATGGCTGTCTCTATCTGCTCAAGTCGACTTAATATTTCTGTAGCATAGTAATATAAAAATAATCGAAATGTTAATTATGTTGTATTATTTCTTCAAGGAATAATTTTCAAGATTCACTAATAAAGTCTACGTCGTTAAAAAATAGATTCTACCGTCTGTTTGTTTAGTAACTTGATTTGTTGATTCAGTCCACTCACGGTTTTCTGTTTCTGTAGTTTGTGATGTAGACTGATAGAAAAATGGCGTTGCGGCATCGACATCTAACGTCTCTTTATTTTCACCTATTATAAATGAATATTATACATTTAAAACTTTAGTATTCCACTTTTAAGTAATGGTTTAATTCTTGCTTATTAATGATATGTTATTGTATTGAATACATATTTACTTGTGTAAGCGGAAGATTGCAGCAGACATTTGATTTCATATAATAAATTATATAGCGTGCAAATCATTAAAAATTCCGTAGACATTACTAGTTCTACTTGTTCGCACAGTAGGTGAGCAAGTACATAAATGTTATAAACATAATTTTATTTTATTGTTGTCCAATCATTTACTTATAATGTGTAACGCTGCACCCAACATTGCCGTGGTCGCTGAATCAAGTTCCTGGCATAGCTCGCTGTAGGTGATAGGCGGGTTGTCATTTTTATCTTCAATCCAAAACTTGCTTTTTTCTACTGCCTGTTTAAATAGAGCAAATACATATATTGTGCAATAAACTACATATTACGCCATTGAATACCTTGTTGTAAGTACAGAATTTTTTTTTAAATTCATCGCTTACGTTTTGCATATCCTGAATGACAGGTTCTATTCGTTGCATCTGTTCTTCCAAATATTTCTTGAATTCTGTAACATGCTTGACCTGAATTCTGGAGCGCATTTGACTTTTTTACGTTTCTTTTTGTCTTGGTTGCCTAGTAGGCCTACACTGTCAACATTTGTAACATTTATTTTTACAGAAACATAAGTGTAAAATTTAGCCAAGGTATTATAGCGACAGAAAGTGAAATATATAAACCATATATTCTGATATAACACTAAGGGGATGACAACTCGGGATATGGACATGATTTTTAAATCCATTTTTAATGACTTAAACTTTTTAAAATATAAAAGAATCTCGTAAAAAAAAGAATTGCGCACCAAGTGAACGCCAAACAATAGGTGTATAATAGTGCGGGATATTTATAGAACTTTATAAATTCACATACTTTTTTTGAGAAATCGGAAATAGCGTTTATTTTAACACTTTCGGTCAACGGAAATTACTCAACATTTAACAGAAGGCGGAGAGTTCGATTTTTACTTACCTGTGATGTGAAATTTCATTTATCTATCTGAAACAGTACTCAAGTTATAGGCATTTGAAAAATTAAAATTAGAATAAGCTCCACTCCCAGTTAACGAAAATCGCTGAAAATTTGTTATAGAACTACACATTGGATATAATACTTATATATAAAATTTCATCAACCTAGATGTAATGGTACTCAAGTCAGAGGCGTAGCGAGGGGGGGGGGGAGGGGGGTGCGGACCGCACCGGGTGACACCATTTAGGGCGGGTGACATATATAGAGAAAAAATTGAGGGGGGGGGTGCAAATCGAAAGTTTGAGGGGGATGCAAATCGAAAGTTTGGCGGGGGGGGGGGGTACAAATCGAAAATGGAAAGTTTGTCCCCGGGAAGAGTCGCTACGCGTCTGGGGGGGGGGGAGATGACACCATTAAGTGCCGCACCGGGTGACACCCGACCTCGCTACGCCACTGACTCAAGTTATCGTGTTCACAGACACACACACCACACACACACTCACACACATAAAAATATACAGCTCGAGTTGATGAACTTAAGGTGCTAATGAAATTATGTCACTGTGTAAGTGATAAACATTTTAATTGTTTATACTGTTAATATGTAGGCTATGTAGTGTATTTTTTTTCTTTTGGTGTGTAAGTGAAATGTATTTAGACTCAAAGCCTAATTGTGTTGTTTTTTTCTGAATCAAATAAACTGCAACTCATATATTCATATCACACAAATTATATTTGAAATAATACTTACAATTCAATAAATATATCAATCCTTAAAAATTTAATTTTCAAGCAGTAAATATAAAAATTTAAAGTTGATTTCTAGACAGATTTCTTACGTGTCAACACAGATAATATCGGGATTTCCCGTTAGGCTGTTTCAGTTTCACTAGCAGCAGTTGACAGACATCTGAAAATACCAAACACAAAATATAGGAACTATTGGTAAGCTTAACGTAGGCCTACAAACAAAATACATAATTTACTACAGTAACTGATATCACTTACCGTCTGTATAAATATTAAAACGTTTATTTAGCCAATAGCGTTGCTCAAAGTTTTTATTTCATTTTATAAACATTGCCGTACATTATATGCTGTAAGAAATAATAACATAGATTTTAAAGAAGTCATTGCTCAGATATCAACATTAATCATTGCACTGCATGAACATAATGAAAGAATTTCTGGTAATTTCATAATGTTGTGTGCTGGTTGTTATCCTTTATCCATTACGTTCTCATTAACATTGTCGTCCATTTAACTTCTCTTCGCCCGATTTATTTTCATACAAATGCAAAGTAATCTACAAATAATGTATGTGCTTGAAATTATTTTTTAAATTATTAGAAATTACAGTATCTTTGTTTTTAAAAAAGTTACATTTTGTTCTTGTGATAAATTTGTAAGAAAACGTTCCTAATAACATATGTTTACATTGTTACGATTGTACGTTATGTTCATATATCGATTTATAATTTTATAGTTTAGGCATATACGAGTGTGCTATATTAGTCCTGAAGTATTATATAGATTATTTTTTTTAAATTTCAGTTGTAGTTATGTCTCAAAACGACTCACCCAAAAATACTTGTCGGATTTATGCTCAAACAGTTTGATGCATTGAACAGCCAGTTACAGAGTAACTTGAATGATTACACGTTACAGGTTAGATAAATGAGCTGCTTGGATAAATGTGTGACATAATTGCAACAGTTAATTACATATTTGTATGTAAGCGCTACATGTCAGTTGTGCAGATAAAATGGAAAGCTCTGCAGTTGGTTAACAATCCTACATTACAGACACAACATTGACATACAGAGAAACTGTGGCTATGTTAAAAACAGCACATACTACACTACTTGAGCGTTTGGAGAAGATAACTGGTACTGAATGTTCGTAAACCTGTGACCATTTTTTTACATAAAATAAAATTCGTTTTTTAATCATCATAAATAGCCATTTTGTTGTTTTTCATATAATAATTTATTTTGTGTTTTTAAAAAAATAATGTCATGCTAAAGCTAATTAACAATTACATTTTAATCCAATGCTCTAAAAAATGCAGGTTTTGAGGTAAACATTGGGTAGAAATTTAATTCGCTGTTAAAAATCATCTTTTATAGTTGTAACTGCGTGTGTGTTTGAACGAATATTTTATTCTAACATTGTAATGGGTTTATTAATGTACCTAAAGTGCTGACATATAATATGCATGTTATGTAATTTGCGAAGAATGCATAGTTGACTATTAGTGATATTAATTAAACATATTGAATTAGGTTAGCTATGTAACACTATTGTAACTATATATTACATTTTGTAGTTGTTTTGTCTGTTGTATTGAAAGATAGTAGTTGTAAAATTATGGTTACAGAATCCTTGTTGTAGTTTCCAAAGATGTCTGCAGAAAATAGTCAACACCAGCTAGTCAGAATAAAAAACAGCCAGAAAAAAGAAAATGTTGTGGGTCATTTGTGTCTGGTAACTTAAAATTAAACAAATTGAGAACAGGTTAAAAGACAAATTCTAACAATTAATTAAAATAATTTCGATACAAACTAAACTTTTTTTTCAACAACTGAATGTGTGCTTGATTTCATTGACGCACGTCCTTTTCACAGGATATTGTTGCTATATCCAATTTGAAGACAAAACACCGTCCACATCGAATACAATAATTACAACCTTTGATAAAGTACGTGAATATAACGGTTAAATTTTAATCAGACGACAGGAACATTTGTATCACCACATGATGGTTTATATCTGGTCTGTGTAACTACATGAATGGGAAGATGAACGGATTGAAGTTAGTGTGATGACTGGAGACAAGTTGTGTACGTCTATAGAAGTGAAATGTGCCGCCAATAGCGCTGCTGGGTCAGTGGTTGTTGACATGAAGAAAGGTCAAGAACTTTGCCTTAGAGCGCCTTACGCAGAAGAAGGTGCAAAGTTATCCGACGACAGTAGTTTCGTTATCGTTAGTTTATAGAAGTACAACACAAAATATGGTGGATGGGGAATTCTAAAAAAAAAAACAACATGTAACCACCATGTTAAACATGGGACCATCATCCAAGTTCTGTTAAAGGACTTAAAATGTTAACTTTCATTTCTATAGTGTAGTCTGAGTCCATGTTAACGTGGTGTTATTTATGTTGATACAATAATCAACGAACTACATTTATGTCTGCTTAAAGACTAGATTATCTCTAAAGCATTAGAGACTGTACCAGTATAACTGTAGTTTAAAGTCGTCCAGAGAAAGTTGGTAACATACACATGTGTAACGTCTGGTTAATAAATGTTTTATGTTGACTCATACAGTTATCATGTTTATTTTTAGCACATTGTACAGATGGAAAAAATAAGGGGACGTAACCAATGTAATAACCTACAGTGTCTGTAATATCTCGATAACTTTCCTTGAAAACATGTTTTCATTTGTTTTTTTCCCAATTCGAGAATTACACTTTAACGCAAAATGTTTTAAATAATATTTGCATATCCTGACATATGATGTATCTTAAATGATTTTACAGTTGTTCCAATATAGCCTATGTAAGATGATGTTAAAAACTGTTTTATGTTTTGTTATACTTTTTTTTCTCACATGTACCTGACTTCACCATACAGTAAATCATATGTACCTCACTTCATCAGACATTAGATTACATTTACTTTACCTCATTTTAGACAATAGATCACACGCACCTTACCTCACCAGACAATAGATGACATGTACCTCACTTCACAATAGATGGTATGTACCTTACCTCACTTCAGACAATAGATCACATGTACCTCACTTCACAAGAGGTGGCATGTACCTTACCTCACCAGACTGAACATGACAAATCGAGGGCTGATCGTAGCATAGTTGAGATATAATTTTATGGCTGTTGTGCAAAGAGAATTGGCAAATTATAAAATTCCTATTTTTAAACATTCTTTGTGAAAATATAAACATGTGTGTTATAGGAGTGATACATATTGTAACGGATATTATTACATAACTAATTGTGTTTGTTTTTCATTATACTTCTGATTTAGAGTGCGATATTCTATAATAAAACACGGTTATTAAGAAACTTTGTGTCGAAATATCGAACAAATTGTAAAATACATTTTATGTTATCGGTTATGAAACTAAAGTCATTGTTACTTACAGTATATAACAGACAACACAAATGATATGTGTATGTATGTGCTCAGATGTGTGTGTGCTTTGTTCATACATACATGTGAATGTGTGAGTTAAAAAACATCACACAAGATTTTGTTAAGCTCACACACACGTTTGGGCAGACAGCGCTGGTTCTAAACACTTTTTAAAGTTATAAAACAAAAAGAAATAATTCATTATTGAAACAAAATACAACACCAGCTGAACTATTGTAAAAAGAACGTTATGTTGGTTTGTATGTAGTTAAATACATTCATCTTTTGTATATTTATTGAGTTAATGAGCAGATCTAGGCTTTACATAATTAATTAGCATATTTCCACATACGTGATACAGCGGCGATCTATGTTATAATGTCTTACAACATAATTTAGTATTACGTGTCAACATGATGTGCGCTCTATGGCACGCTAAATCTGTGTTTAACCTGCTTTTATTTCTGGATTTTCTTTCATAGCCTTTGTACTTCCAAGAACAAAGTACGGGGCAGTACTTTTTTATGTATGGGGTTTCGCTGCTGAATGTCTCTGGTTAACGAGACTAATGATTTATGTTTGCTGCAAGGCTCAACAAGATCCCTGGGTATCGTACACTAAAGAGGTCAGAGCTAATTGAAATATTGTAAACATTTGGCTGTAGATCTGGTTGTCACGTGGGAAATTTGTCTTTATGGAGAGATGTGGCGAACAGACGTGAATTAACGTAAAGTATATGCTCAGTCTTGACTGACATGTTTTTTTGTAACAACATGTCAGTTATCGTCGTTTGTTTTCGTATAGCAAATGTCTACAAAAAAAGATAAAATAAAATTGTACTCGTATAGCGGTGTTTTGTTCATAATTACGACTACTTTATCCACTTAACCCTAAACTGACTAAACTAACAACTACATATCCCTAATCAAACTCAGCCCCCTCTCCACATATAGGTCTTAGGGGCTTTGATCACAGGTGTTTGACCATGGGGGGTTTGACCACAGGGGGGCTTTGTCCACAGCGTGGCTTTGACCACAGCGTGGCTTTGACCACAGAGGGAGGTTAACCATAATATATAGATTTTTAAAGTAGAAATTAGAAACTGTTATTTGATTTAAATTTATGATACAATTCATATTATTTTATACATGTTTCCTGAGAGTCCATTAATTGAAATTAGCATGTACTAAAAAGTCAATAACGATAGTGTCCACTTAAAGGCTAATGTTAGGCCTCATAGATTTATTTAAATAAAAATGGAACACAAATAATCAATAATGAGAGATGCAAAGTTTCACAAATAATTAATGTACATGTACATAAAAATACATAGCATACATTAAGTATAAAAAAGCATGTCAAAAGTCTAGTCACAGAAGTAGTATTCGTAAGGTAAATTAAATTAAAAGCACGCAAATATGTCAGAACATATGTTTGACCATATGTCTGGACAGCACGCAGAGGCGTAGCGAGGGGGCGGCGGGGGGCGGGACATATGTCCCCGGGCGCCGACCCTAGGGGAGGGGGCGCCAAATTGAAAGTTTGAATGGGGGGTGCAAATGAAAAGTTCGAGTGGGCGGTGTGCAAATCGAAAGTTTGTCCCCGGGCGCCGGGAAGGGTTGCTACGCCTCAGACAGCACATTGTAATCTCGTGCAGCATCTTGTATCGCT